CCAACATGGTGAAACCCCGTCTCTACTAAAATACAAAAAAAATTAGCCAGGTGTGGTGGCACGTGCCTGTAGTCCCAGCCACTTGGGAGGTTAAAGCAGGGGGATCGCCTGAACCCAAGAGGCAGAGGTTGCAGTGAGCCAAGATCACACCACTGCACTCCAGCCCGGTGACAAAGCAAGAATCCGTCTCAAAAATAAAAATAAAAAGAGAGAGAGAGAGAGAGAAATATATTGTCAAATGCTTTCATATGAATAAGTATTGTTTTGAAAATATAAAAAAGATTAGACTCTAGTAGCAGGGATAAGAGTTCTGTGTTTCTCAAAAAAGGATAAAAGATTGAGAAATACTACCTTATATAATCATAGCAGAAAAAAGACAATCTCTCTTTTGACCAACACAGGAGGTGAATTTCACTCTTTCCACAACAACCATCAAGCTCACCCCAGAGCACACAATGTACCCAGGCATCTAGAACATTCCCTGCTCGACTCAAAAACACAGCATATATTCATAGAGTTCTAAATCGGTACAGGACGATAGCCTGATACAAAATTAATATTCTGCTCTCATCCTGGTCAAGGAACATTCACCCCTTTGAGGGAAGCAACTTTGCAATATGTTCTCTGTTGAAAACATGCCTCAAAAACACTGCTTCTCAGTAACATTTTGGGTAAAACCAAATCCAACAGTAGTACAGAAATTATACCGTAGATATTAAGCATTCCTTTTCTTCACTGGTCAGCCACCCTTCTGTAGCTATGATAATTGATATTCTTTAAAATGTATAAGTCTGAGTGAGGATAAATTGCTGTATTAACATTTAAGTGGCATGATATGTCACATCATTAATGTTTGATGAGTTTGTTTCATTAGCTTATTTTAAAGATGGTCAGACCTTCTTAGAAACAAAGAATGGAAAATATCAGTTTTATGAGTTTAAAACCCAGAAGCCAAAGTTCAAAGATGTCCCAAGATTACTTAATGAGTCAGAGGCAGCAAGGTAAAGAATCCTGACACTATCTCAGATTGTAGTTCCATTACTAACATCAGTACTACTATGTCACTTGTACTGGGTAACTTAATTCCGAGTCAGCTTAGAGTCTGCAAAGAAATCCAATGTTAGTTCACAGCCAAGAGCCAGAAAGATCTGGAAGGGTGACATATTTTAACACGAGTGCATGATATAATGCAACCTTTTAAAAATGGAGGGGAAGGGCCAGGCGCAGTGGCTCACGCCTGTAATTCCAGCACTTCGGGAGGCTAAGGCAGGCAGATCACTTGAGGTCAGGAGTTCGAGACCACCCTGGCCAACATGGAGAAACCCCGTCTCTACTAAAAATACAAAAATATAGCTGGGCATGGTGTGCATGCCTGAAATCCCAGCTACTTGGGAGGCGGAGGCAGGAGAATCGCTTGAACCCAGGAGGCAGAGGTTGCAGTGAGACGAGATCACGTCACTGCACTCCAGCCTGGGCGACAGAGCGAGACTCCATCTCAAAAACAAAAAAGAGGGGAAGGGTGGAATGTCAAATACAGATCTTGACCTCACCTCTGTCTGCACCATTAAAGGCCTATGCATTCGAAGGTCATATACAATCCCATACACATCCACGGTGTTTTCATTCTCTATCTGGTAGATGAGACGATCAATGGCAATGAAAGTGCCCGTCCTTCCGACCCCAGCACTGAGAGAAAAGAGAAATAAGCCTATTACAGTGGGTTCCCTCAACTGCAAGCCTCTTAGAGTTCCTCATTTGTACATACATCTTGCTTTCCTTCACTGTCACACTTTGAGGGCAATGTGCAGGATCAGTACACATTTGCTCAGGTGAAGCCTCAGCAAGTCAGACAGCACTAGCTTGGGACTGGGGCCTAAGTCCCAAACTCACATTTGAGTCAAATGCCACATATACAACCCCTTGCTCGAGCTTCTTCAATCTCAGTCCCATTCAAGTTGCCACCATAACCTAGGATGGCATGTTTCATCGATTTATTCCCCACTGGGCAACAGAGCCCCTCCTGTCTTCTGTCCTAAATTAATTCCTTTAGCTTCAAAACTAACTTCTTGTTAGGCGTTGGCAAACTTTTTCAGTAAAGGGCCAGAGAGTAAACATCTTAAGCTCTGCAAACCATATGGTCTCTTTCTGCCGTTGTAGCAGAAAAGCAACCATAAACAATATATAAATAAATGGGCATGCTGTGTTCCTAGAAAATGTTGTTTACAAAAACAGCAGCTGACCAGATTTGATCCATGGGTTACAGTTTGCCAACCCCTGTTTTGGAAGTTCAGGGTTTAGGGAGTAAGTCCAAGGTTGCTTATCCAAACCCTTTCCTGAATTCGTACATGCCTATTACATTCCCTCTTAGGCTTTGCTTATGTAAAGTGCTGATAAATAGATAATAACATTGGAAATCTGTCGCACATGACGTGCCATCTGCATACCTGCAATGCACCAGAATCGGCGATTCGGGAGGACTCTGCTTCATGTAGTCACGAACGAGGTACCGGAAGTTGATGAGCAGGTCAGTGGTGTCGGGAACACCGTGGTCTGGCCAGGAGGTGAAATGGAACTGTCTCAGAGGGTGACTCTCACTTGTCTGGATCTAAAAGCCCAGAAAATGAGTTAGATCCAGACAGAAAGGCCGCCTAACAACATCAAAAAGGCAGGGGAAATCAAGCACAGCCTGAGTAGTAACCGGGAGTTGTAATGACTAAAAATGAAACTTCACATTTGCACAGCAGCTGATAAAGTGCTTGCTCATCAAACCCTCACAATATGCCCAAGAAGGAGAGTTTATTATCCCCGTTTAAAGATAAGGCAGCAGCGATTCATAGAAGTGAAGTCATTTCCCCCACACTGATTTTAGATGCAACAGAAGTCCCTTATCCTCCAGTTCTGCGTTCAGATCCTTCCCTTCCTGACACAGCTGCCTGTCAATAATGAACTCAACTCCTTAGAACTTCATGAGCCCCATCCCCGAGCCCCCCTGGGAATGTCACTGACCATAAAACCAAAAATAATTTACTCAAATACACCATGATAATCAGTGCCTTCTGGGCAAGAATGGCCTCATAATTCACTATGCCCCCTAGAGAAGCGAATAAAGTGACAGGTCACTGGCAAGCACCATGCAAGTATTTAGAATTGGAGAGAGCTGAGAAAGGACTCCCCCAAAAAACCATCCATTTCAACATCTGAAAGACAATAGAGCTCATTATTACACAGACTGGTTCCCTACCTCACTCCAAAGCATATACCTTGAAGCCCAGAAGCCCACCACAGCTGGGGCGGGTCCTGTCCCTGACTCAGCTGTACTCGTTATGCCCATACCAGGGAATGACCATACCCATGTGACCTACATCCGCGCCGTAGGCATTTCCATCTCCTTTATGACAGCTGCCCTTTGACACTCATTTTTTTCAAATGTATATTCATGATAAGAACAATAAATCTGCAGTATTCAAAATTTGGAAAACAGCAGGAAACAAAGGTAGAGTGAGGGGAGAGGTGCTAGAAGACCTCATCACAGATAAAGTTAACATTCACAAATGTAACCAGAAGTACTGATCCGAAGTCAGAAACCAGCTGTGAGAGATGGAGGTGGGGGAAGGGGAAGAAAAAAGGAGGGAGAGGGAGAGGGGAGGGGAAAGGGAGTGGGAGTGGGGAAGGGGAGAAGGAGGGGGAGAGGAAGAGGGGGAAGTGCGGAGGGTTATACTTAGCATTATCTTCGTGGAGGGCCAAAGGGGCTCAGGTTAGGGGTGGTAGTCAAAGGAAACCATTAGCTCTGTAATGTTCTCAGTTTTCTAAAGGAAAATGTATTCATGCATTTTGTATAATTAAAAAATAACATGGTACTAAATGCCATATGGTGTCCTGGATCAGCTCCTGGAACAAAAGAAGGCTTTAGTGGAAAAACATGAAATCGGAATAAAGTCTGGAGTTTAGTTAATAAAAAATAATCATCATAGTAATAGCAATTTTAAAAAATGATGTGGACGACTCCACCCAAAATGCCCCTCCACAAAGGTAAGCCCCAAGCAGCGGAGGCAACCAAGGAGAAGCCAGTCCGTTCAAATGAGCAAAATCTATAGAAATAAGCATGAGAGGCCGAGCACGGTGACTCACGCCTGTAATCCTAACACTCTGGAAGGCCGAGGCAGGCAGGTCACAAGGTCAGGAGTTCAAGACCAGCCTGGCCAATATGGTGAAACCCCGTGTCTACTAAAAATACAAAAAAAAATTAGCTGGGTGTGGTGGCAGGTGCCTGTAGTCCCAGCT